GAGACTGCTTAATATCGCAAACGTTCATTAGACTTGAAATTAATAAAAAAGGCTTTGCGACGCTATTTACGTACGTTATCTGACAGTCCATCAGTTCCCGATGGATTACACTGAGAGCTTCGTGACTCAAATTATGCAAAGTTTGATTAATAACCACTTGTGAAAAAACTGTTAAGCCAAACCTGCCATTAACAAGACTTAGCTTATTGCAGCTACTCTCTGGGTTTTATTTAACCCCGGTATTACCCTTGCTTGAGCCCTCTCGATTTCAGACTTCACCCAACAAAAAAACGCGATTGCTGAATTGATCAACAGCAGTATATTCTCTGTGTTTTTCTCCTCACCGAAAAACTTGAATTGAAACGCCAGTTTAGTGGCTGATCTGAACACACACACAGCCCCACGAATTTACAGCGTTAACCCTTGTATCAAAAAAACCCTGATTTTTGTTGAGGCAAGAGTAAAGGCGTGGACTGTCCGGGCACCATTGCAGGTTTTACTGATTGAACTGACTTTTTAGTTTCCGACCTCAATTTCCCTCATTGCATTTGCGTTGTAGTGCATATGAATATAATTGAGTGCAATCACTCGTTGTAAGAGTGAAGGCATATATATAGAAACTATTTATCATTGAATAACTCTAACACGAGAACGTGAGTTAAGAAAGCCTCGGGAAAATACAAACCACTCTTGTGTAACCGCAAGAAGACATTTTTGAGCCCCTTACAAGTAGTTTCCTTTCAAAACACAGGTGTGAAAGCCCATATTTGTGGCAGTGGGCGTGGATATCATTTTTATGAAGCCGGAAAAAAAATCTTAATATTTTAAAGGAAGACCTAATTTGGCCTTCTTTCATATATTTCACTCACGTCCAACATTTCATTGTTTACTTTTCGTCGAAAAATCCATTAACGACCAGGCACGTCCACGATACTTGGTCTTATACATAAATGGATTATAAGTCTTCTTCGCTTTGTAAAACACATGATCTCCTAGACGTTTTATTACGGGGAGTGGAGGGGGGTAAGTGTGAAAGTTTAACAAAACAAAAAAGTGATGAACTTTGGATACCTAAAGAAAAAAATGTTGAAAAGAAAACGTTAGAATTGGAGGCTTTGCTGACCGTTGTGACGGATGCCACTAACTCAATAGTTCTTCAGTCATTCGATTCAAGGCAAGGAAACGATATTCTTCGCACAGCCTTGGTAGCACTTATCGCTCGATGGCCTTAGATGAATCTTTAATTTGACAAGTTGAATATAAGATAGTTCACCAAGAATCCTTCAATGAAAAATAACATGAATAGTAGCTCGGGAGGCAAATTCGAAAGGTGAACTTGAAAAGTAGGTGGACTTTACAGTATCCCGTCAGTGAATCGATTTCAGGGACTTTTCATTTAACCCGCTTTAATAATATGTAGAAACTTTGTGTTGAAAGTACTGACATGCAAATGAAGTCTCTCCTCTTTGTGATCATGATCTATCTTGGTAATCTTGGCTTCTTTAACTAATCACAGCACTTAAATAGAACTGAGGGAAAGATTGCTTGATTAAAAATGCTTGGCATTGTTCAGTGTTTCCGCGGCCACGTTGTAGCAATTCAAAATTCTCTTTGAGATACAAGGTAATCAATCCCATGTACTACGACTTTTACAAGTCACCATATTTTCACCCTGTTTCATAAAAAAAGCCCGTTACCTAATATTACGTTCAAGAAGACGCAAAATAAGACAAAACTGCTAATAGCCTACCGGATTTTTTGGGTAACTTAAGTATGAGGAAATCACAAGTGGTAGAAGTCCTGCCAGTGTATTTTTATTATGGATTATCACACCTAATAAGCATTGTTCGAGTCCAAACATGAAGAGGGATTATTGTTGGAATAACATTTTAAACTTTTTAGAAACTATTGTGTACTTATGCTTTTATTAGAAAGAGGAAGCCTTGGCTTAATCTACTTGTATTACTTCTTGCACCGTTTTATTACTATCGGTATTTTGTTTTGTATCAGAAATAAGAAAAAACATACGCGCAAGCAAAACAAAACACTGGCAATCTAGCATATTTTTGTCTTTATGCGATTTGTTTTTCTGCAGCACTCAGCAGATGAGCTGTTTCCGGTGAAACGGCAAGGGACGTGACCAGCATAACTTTGTAATTTCCGCCTCATTCATCACCATCTTTTTAAAAGCTTCCGCTGATAAAATGACGGTGAGGGATGTTGTGTTATCGCACGTGGACCCAAAGAATTCAGATCATGGGCCAATGGAAACACGCTTTTTAAATTCTTCGTACGCGCACAGGAGAACTTTCCCTCCCCCGGGGCACGATCTACAATTTCTAAAGGGATCGGAAGCACATTTGGCAGATGATGCGATAATCTGGTTAAAATTCATGATATTAGGTGCGGGTATCTTCATCGATTTGTTTACTTTCCCGAATAAATACTTAGAGTATAGAAGTATCTAACTACAGTTAAGTCTATGCTGGGCGTTGCTCCAGGCTTGTTCATAAACACAGCCTGATATGCATGGTGACTATTGATGTATTTTCGAATGAAAAATACACCTGAACAGAAACGATGAGGTAAAAAATAAGAATAAAAACTTCTTTCCAAGAATAGATGCATGAAAGAAACAACTCGTTGCTCAAATTTAATACCCCTCAAATGTTCGTGATCCTGAATTTCCCACACGCGAGCAGAGCCATATTCTAGCGTGCCTTCCCTGTTCCTTTTTGTAACACTCACGAATCACACCCGTACAGGCTCAGTCGAACTCCGGCAATATTATCGAAAGGTCTTCAAACAAACATTTTCGCTTGAGGCAGATTTTTTTACAACTCGGTTTATTTAAAGCATTTCGCTCATTTCTATTCCGCGCAACTTACTTCACCTCACCCTGTGTGTAAAATAATTTGTTCTCCAAGAAAACCTTTTAAAACAACAAGCTAAAATGAGAAATATATGGAGACCGGCCGGACAGGGGTTGGCGGGGCGAACATTTATTACTCGTGACAGTTAACTGTCTGACCGCAGGTATAGTTATTCTTTTATTCTACCAGTTTAGCTGAGTAGTTCTTTATATTTACGTCTTGTTTTTATTCACTTTAATTAAAAGATCAACAGAAATGGCTTTGCTTATCGCCCCTCTGGGGGAGCTGAACACCAAACTCTCGCGACAGGCGTAATCTCAATAATATAGTGACATGAAAATCAGAAAATAGGGATTAGCAAACCATAAAAAACAATAACAGTTAAGTCAAAACATCACGAATTTCTTGGAAGAGCACCTAACGTTTGTTTACAAGGATTGTATCTGACTCACTTGCCCTGAGCTGGTTTTCGTGGTTAACCAAGAATTTCCATCGCGGCCTGTCCGCATGTTGTCTGCATGCAGCCCTGTCTAATTGGTTCCGCCCTCCTTCAGCCACGGTTTGGGGAAACTCTGTTCCTGTCATGGAAAGATCTCAGAGAGCAGCTTAGGCTGCAGTCCGCCTTTTCTCTTAAAACCTGTGCAGTTCTCACCCCGGCCAGCGGAATTGAAAACAATGTTACCTTCTTTACGCCTCGTTTATCGCCGGTCGCCGCTCGCGTGCAAGGGTTACGCTTGGAGTAACTTTTAAAATTGAGAAGAAAAATAGGAGACTGCTCGCAGACTTAAGTCTCTAAGAGCAGCTTGACTTACGACCAGGCTTTTCCCTCTTCCTATTTGAGAAGGTGGCGGGTGGGGGCTGGAAGGGGGGGGCAACACCTCTCCTTCCCACGAGAGGAGTGTAGACATCATAGAGGGCATGATCGCAAGCTGCTGGGAGCAACCTTTCTTTCCACAGGCGGTCAGTTACTGATTTATACAGTTTTCGCTCCGTTTAATGCACTACGTTTTTAATCGATTAACAAGTCCTAATTAGACGAATTTGCAAGTGCATGCTAAGTGTATTTTCCTTTTCTGTTCATTTGATTGTTAAAGGCGACAAATTCAAAAAGTAATAACGAGACGATTAAGAAAATTGAAAACAACTTCGACTTCGTACATTTACGATCATTTACTTTGGGAAGATTTCCGCCGGGACGTTTTAGTTCTTTTTGTCAAAAATATCTGTCGGCCTTTATACACCTTAATTTAAAGGGTTAGGTTTTTACATTCATTTGGCCAGGTTTCGTTCCATTTTTTTTTTTCTTTTCTGTTCTTTTTTTTAGGAAAGTGCACTCAGGGGCCCTGAAACTTGAACTACCCTTGATTTCGTATCTCATTGCAGCCATTTGCATTCTTTCCCGGGGAGAAATTAAATTATGGACAAATCGAACAAAAATCTCTCAGTCGTTCTCATACATAATCGTCTTTCTCTTGACTGAATCATACTGGCGTGACATAACCTATTGATGGAAAGCAAAGAAAAAGCAAAACCTGGCTGATCAAACAAAAAATTAAGCTCTGATCATAAAGAATATTATATCTATAGGAACATGTTCAATGAATAATTTATCAGCATATATTTTAACTTTCAACTAAACAGATGAATATGGAAAATAAAAGCTCTATAGTGCTATAGGCTTTGAAACGGAAATTAGGTTCGTTCGAAAAAGAAAACATTTTTCCTTAGACCTCTCAGGCTTTCAAAGAACCCCTTCAAAGTGCAAATCATCTCAGTAGCGCTTAAGTTGCATATTTTTCCAAACACGAAGGGAGGCGATCTAAAAGTACGTACAAAAATGCCTCATTGAAAAAGAGGTTTGAAGTTTTAGTGTCATATTTAGTCCAAATATACAAATCCGTACACAGAAAAAACAACAAACGTTGTTTTTTGTTTTGATTGTTGTACGATTGGAAGCAATCATTAATGAAAGAAATCCACCGCCAACCAATCAGCACGTTGGAAACAGCGCAAACACGAAAACTGGCCACTCACAAAAGAGCATTTCCATGTAATTTTTGATTGACGGCCACCCTGCATAGTACATGCCATCTGATTTATGCACGACGCACGCGATTGGCCAAATCTCCGGTGTCCCTTTATTAGCTTCATTTATTGGTTGTGGTAATAGCGAGGAAGAGATGTCACATTTTATCTGTCAGCAAAAGAAATCAACATAGAGTCTTGTTTCCAACCTGAAAGGCTTTGTAGCCAAATGAAGTTGTAATTTTAGAACAGAATTCGAAGGCCAAATGTTCTTCTCTTTGCTTTTAGCATTGTGGATGACCTATGGCGTTGCGGGTAAGTAATGTCGAAACGCACTTCGCCGCCTTGGCACTTGCATTACGCGAATGTTTCTACTCGCATGTCCGTGAGGTTCCTTCACCATTCCAACCTTGGTCATCCCCGGGTGGGGAAAATTGGCGGTTGCAACTGAAATAAGCAAATGTTGAGGAAACTCAATGGAGAAACAATTTCGCTGAAGCGTGAGAATAGTTCGTGAACGGTAGCAATTGTTTTGAGAGCGAAGCAAGTGAAGCGCGGCAGCTGCTCATACAACATAGCGCTGCCACGAACTCCATTTGTGAGACGCACTTGAACGTTTACGTCCTTATAGTAAACTGACTGGATCGAATGGTGCTTTATGCTAATGCTCTTTTGAAAATTTTGTTCTGTTTTCCTTTGTTATGTCTATAGTTTCACTGTTTACGTTCCTTGGTGCAGAAAATTCAAAGCTAATGGCGAGCGAACTCTGCAAACGCTTCAACCGCAAAGATTTATATACAACAGCCGATTGCTCCATAAACCTGCAAATTACTGTCTGTGGACCTTTAAATAAAATCAAAACGAAAGGTCACCTTTTCGTAATTCATTCGTGTACCATTTTTGTGATAACTAAAGGAATTCTTTCCAAGTTACTGAACTGTTTTCCATAGGGGGCTTTATGTTCCATGCTACGTGACACCTAGTAGTCTTAGTAGGAAGGCATCAAAACAACCCCAGCTTATGTTTTCCTCTATAACATTTGCTACATCATTCCACGATTGTGTTGCTTGCTTCGTCTCACAGTAAGGGATTTAATTGTTAGCATTATTTCTTTCGCTAGCGTTTTCATTTGAACTAACTGCTAAAGCTATTTCATTTTCATGCAGGCTATGCTTCCAACGCCTTCATGCGCCTTGATTTTGTCAAAGAACCCAGCAACACAGTGGCTCGCAAGAATAAAGCCGTCAGGTTGCAATGCGAAGTAGAGGGTTCCCCTCCTGCTACAAATTTTACGTGGGTAAAAAATGGAAAGGTAATCACAGTTGATGATAGAGTGAAAATAGAATCCGATGGAGCACTGCTCATAAATCCGGTACACACGCGAAAGTACAAACTCGATGTTGGAGAATACCAGTGCTTTGCTTCAAGTTCCAAATTCACAATAGCTAGCCGCAAAGTGCGTTTGGAAGTGGCCGGTAAGTCATGATTACAGTGCATGTTTCTTACTCATTGTGGTTATTTTCCGTTTCTAGCATTCTTAATAGCGTGATCTGAACAGCTCCAGTTTCGGGCAGATTACATCGTTGAACGCGAAGTTTGTATGTCATCTCCGCAACGCTTAAAATTCCTTTCTGAACATAGCGTTCTTCCGGCTGCTTATGAAAATCTCGAAACGTACGATATTCAAAAACGGGAATCGTACGTTGGCTTTTGACACGTTTAACAGCGGTCAATTGAAAGGCGAAGTACAAGTTTTCAATCGTGAGTGCACATCAGCTGGCCAATTTCGGGTACTGTATTTACTTCGGTTCTCTTTTTTTCCTGTTGCTGATCACGCGATCGTTCTTTGCTTGCTTGTTCTCTCATTTTCATTTTCACTTTTGTAACGACGTTTCAATTATCTCTTTCAAACGAGCAGAGAGCAATTTGTTTAAAAACATGTTTACAATCTTTTAGTGACCCGAAATTTTAACCTTTCAGTGAAACGTCTTCGTGAAGCTTTGGTCATCCCTAAAAAATTGTTAAAACATTGTAGATAACCTGATCAGTAATTGTGTTTTTCCAACACTTTGAATTCCCTATCGTTTTATCGTATTATGGACAGCTTATTCGTCCAAACTACGGTTTTATCTGTCGTGGCTTTTCAAGTGTAAATATCGCGTTCGTTAACGTTAGGAGGAAGGACAAGAGGTTAAGCCTAAGTAAGCGTACACGCCTTCTAAACGAACGTAGCAATTGAATGTTTTAAGTGTATATTTAAGCTTATTTCTTGTCTTTCGTAATAAGTAATGCTTTAGCGAAATGTTTCTATCGTGTTGGTGATTGATTCAAACTGATTTTTACAACTGCAATACTGCCTTTGCTGCTGGAATTGATACAATTTTGTTGTCACGTCCGCCGATAGATAGCATTAGGACAAGCTGTGTCTGTGTGTGTTGGAAACCTTCTAAATACGTACATGCCTAGAGTCGTTTTGACTCTCAACTGCAAATAACCTTTAAATACAACGTTAAGTATTCTAACCAATTCACACCACGCTGTGAGTACCAACAACTCATAAACTCCTTAACTCGTTATGTTTTAAAACACCTTTGACCTATTCTCTAAAAGAGTTTGTGCAAGTACAGAATTGAATGACCGTACCGACTTTTTTTTTTTTCGCGTAACCTGACCTCGGAAACCCGCGCTTATATTAACATGTAACGGAAGAATAACAGTATTAAATAAAATATACCAGATTATCAAACTCAAGAAAGAAACTGGGTATTTTTGGTCTCGTTCTAAACATGGCGGATATTGAAACACCAAAGGCCAAGATTGCAGTGATTGGTCTTTTGTTCTATGGCCTATGGGAATCCACAACAGAATAATCACGTGCTCATAAATATGATATGGGCAAATGTTGCGGGTTTGATTTAAAGTGATCATTTTGTTGTAAGATGTCTCTGGGATCAAATAAAGAAAACACACAGTACCTCATGATGTAGAACAAAACAAGTGATTGTTCCATGCAATGGAATGAGTGCCTGAGAGTGCAGCATTTTTTAGAACAACATTGTGAATTCACCTTTTTATAGGATTTACTGTTGGCACTTAGAAAAGTAAACAATGTTGCGTGTAGTTTATTAGGAACATTTTTTGTTTGTGGCTTTTATGGTATGTTATGTCTTCTTGTTTTTTTGTTATATTTATCCTGTTGGTAGATTTGAATGTGCTGATTTTTTTATTATTTAAACCTCTAAACAACAGGGGTTGTCATATGGTAAAATAAATAAGAACTATTGTAATGTAATTACTTTTATTTTTTTTCTCTTTTATTGAATGTTGTTTATTTATGTTTAATGGTTATCTAATTTTCATTACTTTTTTTTTTTGGAAAAAAGTACTGTACTATCTATGTTTTTTTTACTTAGCCGGCATGTTTAGGCAGGAACGTTTATTTTGCCTTCTTCAAGGCATGTTTAATCTGAATGATAGCTATGATATATAAGCATAACATGTGACTCAAACAATCACTTTAAAATGGAACTGTAGAAGGATGAAACTTAATTTATATGATGTAACAATGTAACTTAACCTTTAATCAAGGCACATGATCTGGCACCCCATGGGGAAGGGGACAGGCAGAGACTTGGAAAATTGAGTGTACCTCTAGAAAAATCCTGGCTATTCCCCTATGTAAGGTACATGTAGTTCTAACTTTTGAGGCTGGGAATGAAATCCTTTGGTATGACCATTCAAATAAAACCTCTCTAGCAGTACTTTCACGTGGTATTGTAAGTTTTTCTGCATTTTACTCAATAAATTGTAGATTTTTTATCAATTATTTACTTTAGTCACTTCTGGGAGTGAAACTGCTAGATCGCCCTTGCAGTTTGCCCTTTTTTTGTACATGTAAATCAAAGGGAGAACTTGACTTTGGATCAGGTGTTACCTAGGGTGTAATTGTTTAAGTTTTGTAGAAATTTAACTTCTCAGAGTCACTCTTAGTATCATTACCCTCTAACTACAGGTATCTCCAGGAAATTTCTCCAGGAGCCCAAAAATACAACAGTAAGAGTTGGATCAGTAGCAAGGTTTTCTTGTAAACCACGTCATGATGTTCCACCTGCCACAATAGCATGGGAGAAAGATGGAAGTCCCCTCAACTTATCTAGTCGACTGGTTATCTTGGATCAAGGAGTACTTCAAATTAAGAATGTTCTGAAATCTGATGAAGGAAACTACAGGTGTATTGCAAGCAATATTGCTAAAACAAGATACAGCCAGGCTGCCATCCTCTCAGTGAAAACAGGTTTGTGTTAATCATTCACAATTTTGAAAAGAAACAGAGAAATTGTTCTAATTGCAGCAGGGTGAACATCATTTCTGTTGTCAATGAAAGTATACACCATGGAAAATTGATGTCAATATATTTTTTTCACAAATATACATGTACCATTGACAATGGGCATTGACAGCCCATTTCAGGTGAAGTGTCTTGAAAAAAAAAAGCACATGAGAGAAAGAGGAAAACAAAATTAATTGCACTGCAAAAAGTATTCATTTCCATAGTCTATTTTGTGAAAGGTTTGAACCCAGGAGTCATTTCAAAAGGTTAAGTTTGATCGTCCGGGTGAACGTAGTCCTGAATAGGACTGTTGTTGTTGACAGTGACTGACGTTTTGACAACCTGTGCGGTAGTCATCTTCAGAGTCAAAGTGAGTTGTATCGCGTCAGGTGATGGTATTGTACTCTGGTTATTGATATAATATAACCAGAGTATAATACCATCAACTGACGTGATACAACTCACTTTGACTCTGAAGATGACTACCGCACGGTTTGTCGAAACGTCGGTCACTGTCAACAACAACAGTCCTATTCAGGACTATGTTCACCCGGACGATCAAACTCAACCTTTTGAAATGGTCTATTCTCTCATCCATAATATTTTTACCAATCAGCTGACAGAATATCACCCTGCTATTGTTAACATGTACATTGAGCCACAAGGGCACCATGCATGGCCATGGCCTGCAATGTTTTCAGAAATCAAGCTCTAGTTTTTCATTGTTTCTGCATAAACTCTCTCAAAAAAGTCTTTAAAATTTCAAAGAAGGATATGGAAAGTTCTTGAAAAGTCCTTGAATTTTTGGTCAGAAAAAAGGTAAGAACCCCTGAATGGGTAAAAAGGGCCCAGGCTGGAGTAGCACTTTGCCCTGTAAAGTTATTAAAAGTAAAATATATCAGTTGTTCCGGGAAAGTGTATTTAGGTGGTTCAACTCCAAGAATAACTCCAAGAATAACTCCAACTTACTCCCTTCATTGAAAGAATGTTTATTTGGACTTTCCGAAAATTCACCCAACAATAGCTGCCGTACAGCAAAATTAAACTACACTCTGTTGTTTATGAGATTTTACATTTATTCTTGTCAACTTCATAACAAAGCGCTTACATGTACTCTCTCAGACTTTGCCAAACAAATAGAAATTAAATACCAGCTAGAAAAATTCTTTTTTAATTCCTTATTATGTAACAGGGTGCAAAGAAAATCATTTTTACAGCTTGCCATTTGGGCAAGCCGAAGCTAGCATTTACGAGTGCAGACTTCATTTCAGCTAGCCCCAAAAGCTTTTTGACGAGCCAAATTGATTTCACAGTTCTTCTGTTATTCGAATTCCTCAAAAAACATCACTTGCCCTTCAGGCAAGTTAAAAACAAAATTCACCAGCCCAATAGCAAAATCCACTAGCCCTGAGCTATTGGACACTACTTTCTTTGCATGCTGCGTAATTATGTAATTTTTGTGAACTATAACACTGTGATTTAAATTTAAAAAATGAAAAAAAAAGTAAAATATATTTAGATTTCATCTGTGGCATGGTAAGGAAGAAGGACTAGCACAGTCATATAGTGCATAACGTTCTGAGGATGATTCCCAGGTGTGACCTCAAACCCTTTTTCGATATCTTTCTGTACGTTTAGCTGTAAGTAGCTTAAAATATCTGTAAAACAGAGCACTGATGGAAAAACGGGAGTAAAATGAGTGCACCATCTGCTTCAGGATTGTCAGTCTAATAAGTATCATTACCAGCTAAAGACCTATCATAAGGACCTTTTTTTCATACTTAATAACTATTAAACCTTGCAGTACTAGTGAATTGGCTGTTTGATCAGAGAAAAACTCCTCAGTTACACATCTGCAAATGGGACCCTCCACGGGATCTCAGTGAATAAGGTGAACGCGCGCACACGGCACGTTATAACACATTTGCACGCTAGTGGCATGACACCCTTACTGTGCGGATATTCGCATGAAAACAATTGATACTGGAGACCATGTTCGTAGCCATTGTTCATATCTGGTTAACACGGTAGAGCTTTGTTTTTATGACACGCTAGATTTTTTTTTTTTTTTTTAACACGCTAAGTTCCTTTGTTTCCTTAACACAGTAGAATTCTTAACACGCTAGCTTATCTTGTACAACCCAGCTTAATTCGTTACTTGTGTTTGTCAGCTTCTTATTTGTGAGAATGGTGTTTGTTAAGTATATTACTCATACAGTATATATGTGAAAATAAAGAAAATCTACTGTCCTATTTAAAAGTTTTAATTAAAAAAAGCAAACTTTCACGGCAATTTACGGCTCTTTGCCTCAGGATTTTCGCTAGTAAAGTCATTTGCTTTGCATCATACAAGTTTGCTCTAATACTAAAGCTTATGTTTGTCAATTATATATGCATTTGTGCTTGGCTAGCTGCCTTCACAAGTTTACGATGTCAAGAGCAGAGGACATTGCTCGTTTGGCCCGTGTTTAGCAAGCTGCTTTAAGAAAACGAGAAATTCGAAAATAAAGGAAGAATCCAAAAGCAGGATTAATAATTGAACGGACAACAAGTCGAGACACCATTCTGTTCGGCGATTCATTGACCGATGTTGCACTTGATATTGACAACTAGAATCGTATTGGTGAGCCAATAGAAAGCCTTACAGCTTACGAAATCCTGCTTGTACAAATCGAAAGTGACTTCAACTTCAAAGAGCGTGCTAAAAATTTGACATGGTCACTGTGTTACACCGTGCAAAAATGCAGGCAAGATCTTAACCCGTTCCTTTGTCTCTACTGTTGGAAGGAAGACTATGGCTGCGATGTTAATAAGGCAGGTAACTAACACGCAGCTGATGTGTTAAAAGCTAGTTCTTTTGTTTTGGCATGCGAGTGTGCCGTGTGCGTGTGTTCACCTTATTCCCTGAAATCCCGTGGAGGGTCACAAATCATTATGCTATGTAAAAAAGTTAAAATGGAATAACCTTGTGTGATATTTACGGTAATTAATTGATTGCCCTTTGATACTGTTCTAGATCAGTATCAATAAAATGTTTCACTAAAATACAAGAACAAAGGGACTGGGGTAAACCAACCAATTATTGTCTAGAATATTAATTTATGGCTTATAATATTGGCTCATCTGAAAGATGCACAAATCAGTAATAGTTCTTACAGTTTATATATTAACATTATGTGCAAAGTTTGAAGTTGCTGAAGATAACAGTGATTACATACAAAACTGCCTACTTCTTTATGAAACTTTATTATTGTTTATGTGAGTGCTGGTAGTAGTAATAATATTTGGTAATAGAAGAGTCAATATAATGATCACCCTTGTTACAGCAATCCAATATTATCTTTCTTACAGCCTCAATATATGCTTTCAAGCAGTTAGGAGTTGCTTATAACATTAATTTTATTTTGCCAAATGTTTAATAGTTCTCTTGTAAAGTTATAAAACTGTGCAGTTCATCTGTGAATGACGGTAGTTAATGTAGAAGTGTAACAGTGATCCCAAAAGAATCAGTCTGTAAAATGTTCAGAGACCCCTCACATAGTTGTCATATTTTCTATTAACCCTTTAAGCCCCAATATCCACATACAAATTCTCCAAACTGATCTCTATACATTTCCTTAAAGAATAAGTTGAGAGAATTTGATGAAAGATCAAAGCATTTTCTCTTAGGTGATCAATTTATTAATTCTCACAACCAAATCTCTTGACAATCTTTGGATATGGTTGGGAGAAAATTGATGTTGGTCACCATTGATTTTTACTTTTTTCTATCAAAGCTTAAAGTAGGCCCTTCATAAGCATATCAAGGGCATGTTTCATGAACCACATCTTCCTGTGCTGTGAGTGTTTTGTCTGAGATTATTTGCCCTGCTTTGGTTAGTCTCTCCTAGGTCATTTTTTTGTATGAAAGATACGATGTAGCTATTTTTTAAGTGAGCAGTCTAATTAGAATAGGTATCTGATTTGCAATGTCAGTTGTGTATCAGCCTTGTCTTTCTTTGGGCAAGAAACATTGCTCCATTCATTGTCCTTCTGCATCACCCATGCATAAAAATCTGTTCCTTGAAAAATTATCAGTGGATTCTGGGAATAAATTTATTGTGATGCTCTCCATTATTTAGCATGCAGTTTAAGCAGTGTCTTGGCACTGACATCAAAGCAAACTACCATTACGTGTTTAAAGCTTTGTTGGAGGAAACTATTTTCTTTCCTATTGAAAGTTGCAACCACCATCAGACTGTATTTTATGAGTGGGTTTTGAAAATATATTGATGGTTATGGGCTTAAGTGGAATTGCGTGTCAAATGCCCATGGAATGAATCCCAGACGTCTGGAATGAGACAACAATAAGGAAATCAGGTAGTCCAAAGGGCAATATGATGAATCACATGATTACAGGTAGCACAGTGCTGTGAGAACAGCGAGTATCTAGCCAGCGTTGAAAGAAAGTCCTGTCCCATATCCCTAGGCCAATGGATTTTGCTATCAATCTAGTGAATTCTAATCTTAACTTGCCTCATAGGCAAGTGAAGTTTCTAGGGGAATTCAAATTACAGAAGAACTGTAATCAATCCTGTTCATCAAAAATTTATTGGGGGCAAGTTAAAATGACTCGTGGGCTAGTGCATGCGAGCTACAGGTTGCCCTCCTTTCCTTGCACCCTGCTAGCCTAAAACTGGATTAACTAACAGTGTTTTTTCTCAACAAAATCAACACATTTTTCATCTCTGTGAAGCAGTGAAGACCCTCAATGTCTACCTAAGACATGCTTGTTCTAGAAAGTGTTATGTGCCATTAATTAGCAATACTCTCAGAAATGTAAATTTGTTATTATGGAAGTAGCATGTAAATAACAAACTGAGTCAAATTTGGATGAGGTGAAAAGGCATACATATTCTTTACATGCTCACCAATATAAATAAAGCAAATACGCAAAACTATAAGGCTCTCATAGGATTAATTTTTGCAGTGTTATCATGAGGCACCCAACAAACCACTTTTACAGTTGATATTGGTCACTCTCGACTGGGGTTTAGTATGGGTCATGCCATCTTGTCTTCATTGACAACAAACTTTGTGTTAAAAAACCCAGGCACTGTATAATTGCAGCCCAGTGAAAATGAGCCAGCAGCCAGCAATTTTGCTACTTCCAGTGGAATATTTGGCTTCTACTCAACACTTAGATGTTATTAATGATATTAAATAAAAACCACAAAAGTTTTGCCTGCTACCTCTGGTTATCCTGCCTACTGCTGCAAATATTTTGACAAGGCCGTGCTCTAGCAGGGCTCATTGGCCCCTGGCGCCTAACTTTTGCCCCTGTGTGACAAGAAAATCATAATTTTTTCGGAGAAATAATAATGCTGGGCACCCTGGATTTCACAAGTTCGAAACACTGGGCTTCCTTCAATTTTCCTCAGAGCACAGCCTTGGTATATGTGACATATAGCAAGAAAAAATGTTACAATTATTGACTTGCATCCTTTCCAGTGGGGAGTAAGCAGTTACCCCTGAGTGGCACTGAAGTTGGGATACGCTTGGGCTAATTTGGCGTCATTGGCCCAAAGTGCACCCTTGCATTTACTACTCACCATACAGTTTACTCTTATTAATAATGATTTGGAGAAACATAAACATGTATAAACTACCAAAATAATGTGTCAACATTTCAACGACCACGTGAAATATGTCATTATCAAGGAGCTGAAATAAATTGAACTTGCATTAATTTATTTCCATTCCTTAATAATGTCATCATGAGGTTGCTGAAACATTGGAACATCTTTTTGTTAGTTTTTACATGTTTACAGCTTACTCTATACTGAAAAATTGCCACTTATGTTTCCTGCTACAAACATTTTTATATTGTTATTCTTTCTTTTAGATTCAGATGTAGCCACTGTGGGTCTTAAGTTCATTGGTGTCCCTCGCAACACAACTGTTTTAAAAGGAAGAAATGCTGTATTGGAATGTGCGGTTACTGGTTATCCTGTTCCAACTATAAGATGGACAAAACTGGGTGAAAACAATGGAAAGTTTAACGCACCTAGGGCAACCTATGGAATTGGCAATCTTAACTTTTCCAACGTTGATGAAAGTGATGAAGGACAGTATGAGTGTCAAGCTACTTCTAATGGGCGAACTATTTCCAGAACTGCGTGGCTTCTTGTTAGAGGTACTTGATTATAACCCTTTTAAGTCCCAAGAATGACCAACATCAATTTTCTCCTAGAAATATCGATACATAATCAAGAGAAAAGGTTATATATTATAGGAGTATTATTAAATTATCACCTAAGGGAAAATGCTTTGATCTTTTATCAAATTCTTTGAACTAATTTTTTAAGGAAATGTATGGAGATCAGTTTGGGGAATTTGTATGTAGACACTACAGGCTTAAAGGGTTGGTGATGAAGTGAGCTATGGATTTGAGTTAGATAAAGTGCTTGCAATTGCAGGGGTGCAACTTCAGAATTTCAATTGCATTATGTTCCTACAGTCATAACTTGCTCATGTGCTGATGTTTTAAGCTCTTACTTTCTTAAACTTTAAAAGCTACTCCACGTCACTTTTGCAACCTACATTAATTGTCTAAAAATCAAAGTAAACCTCAAAAAAATTATATTGGTATATAATAAAAGAGCGCCAAGAAATTTGAAAAAGTAAAGCAAAACAAAACAAAGAGACACTTTCTGTTGTACAATAAAAAATCTCTCATAGAAATTAAAAAATGGCTGCAAATTCTCAATCAAATTCAGAAGCACACACAAGAATGCCTGGACGGCAATGGTGAAAAAGGTGAACTGGTTTTTAATAAATTTTTTATTGGTGAAAGGGTTCTTGCACATCTAAACCATTTTTGGTTTCTTGCCTTATTACCCACTACAACAGCTTATTTTATATACCAATCACAATTATTTGTGCTAATAGTCATGATTATATTTTCCTGTAACGTAGATGTTTTTACTTCAGCATCCTGCATCCTTGATGCATAAAAATCTGTGAAGATGCAAAATTAATTTGTAGGACACCAAAGTTGATCGATGAGTCTGAAGATGTTTTTCTACAATATCCTGTTTATGTGATTTCTGGGGCTGTTATTGTGGTTGTAGTTGATGCCTATTTATTTTAGTCTTTTTATATAGAATAACTATATTTTATTTTCATTAAACTGTGATATTAGAGTCTGTCCTCAGATTAACTGTCTGGTTACATAAAGGCCCAAGCAATTTCAATTTAGGAGTCGTTGCAGGGTTGTCATTAAGAGCCGGGGGGTTGGGATTTTCCCTGGCTACTAATAGAGTGGCCCCCGGCTACTTTTATTGGAAAATAGAAAGAAAATAGAACCAAAAGAAATCCCTAGCTGTTTGATTCCCCGCCTACTTGTTGTATTTACCCGGCAACTTGAAATCTTAGTGACAATCCTGCGTTGTTTGTTGAACTGGGACTCGTTGGTTCTGCACTGAGACTTACTATTTTTCACAAGATGAGTCCCACGACTCACCATAGCTAATTGTAACAAAAACTTGTGTAATCATAACATTCATAATATAATACTTATTATATATTATTATTTTTTCTAGTTCCTCCGAAGTTTACAGAGATACCCGCCAAAATGCAGTGGACAACTAATAAGCCTATCATATTCCACTGTGCTGCCACTGGATTGCCTCGACCAACCATTTCTTGGCTAAAAAATGGCAAGCCGCTGATCACAAATAACAGAACATCAGTAACCTATTACGAAGGAGGAGCAGACTTGACCTTATCTGACAATCACAAAACAGCAATGTACCAGTGCTTTGTGCAGAATGAAGTTGGCAGCATTCAGGCTGCAGTCACCGCTGTGGTTCAAAGTAAGGAGGGTTTCGGCTCAAACTTGATCAGTAAATTACCTCATTGGTACTTTATTTGGTGGGTGTTAATTTCCGTGTTTTCACCAGCTGCCAAAAAATTGTAAAATTAAAGACCTGCAAATAGATATCGTCACAAAATTATACTCTCAAAATTTAATAGCGATATAGAAAATTCAAATCACAGGGAAAACAAATGAAAACAAGACGCGTGAGTGCATGAACCCTGCCTTCTTTTGGTTCATAAAATGATAGAGAAAATGTGCTCTATGTACTAATGCACTATGGCCCAGAGGAACTTTGATTATGAATTGATGATGAACAAATGGAACATACTACCGGCTAGCACAGACTGGAAAGACTCCAACGTTCCAAAGGAGTGTACTTGACCATGACTGCATAATGCTTCAAAGTAGTGTTTGCAGCTAGTTTTTGTTTTCTTTAAATGGGCATGAGCTTCAGTCGCAATCCTAATATTTTGAGGGAAAAAACTTTGAAATAACACTTCATATAAAGAGGAAGAGAAGATAATGGTTGGAATACGTGAATAATTATGTCAGGATTTTAAATTTGTTCTGGTTGCTGAAGTGACTATTGTACATGCTAAATTACTACAGAGGAGTAAAAAACCCAAATCTCCCTATGAGTAAGATCTTTATTCATATTATTGTCACTCTCATACAGGATAATCCCAAAACCAGTTTAAAATACAGAATATTATAATCGTTTTGTCAATCCTTTTAATTGCAAGTTATAATGTATGGTAGCTGAACACAGCAAAGAGAAAAATTTCTATCATCGATAATTGTGAAATTTCCAATAATGTGGGATCAATCAAAATGGAATTTTGCAAGATTGAAATTCGATAGTAAGCAATCGCCCTTTTTTTGAAAAGCTATAAGCTTACATGTAATCTGTAATATAATTTAACAATGAGATGTTGTTTGATCGATCAAAATCATGTTGAATTTGAGCATTAAATAACTCTACGTGCTTTACAAACCTGCCGCTTCCGTGCGAGCTCGATACAAGTTAATCCATATATGCCAAAAAAAGTCACAGAATATTCCTTTCCCTTGAAATACTAAGTTTCGTTTTTTAACCAAGACAGCCGGGAAGCACAAGACTTGGACCAAGCACAAACTTCTGCGATGAACAGTCAGATTTGTTTGTTTTGATGAATGAAAATTAATGCACCGAAATGGTAATTTACTGTCACTTTCCCGCAACTTGGTACAAACTATGCTATATTACTAAAATCAAAGCTTATTTCTCTGCTTTTAAATTTTCTAATGTGTCTTAATGTTTTGCGATAAAAGCTGTAAAGCATAAAATTTTTTAAGGTGTTTACAGTGATGTGTGTGGACATGTTTATACAGATTGAACAGTCAAGTAGTACAATTTAAAGCATAAAAACGGTCCATACATTTTACAAAACTGCTTCTTCCTTGCACCTTGGTACACGCTTAGTGTTTCTTCAACTGCTATATAAAATCTCGTGACTTGCACTAAATATATAAAGTGAAAATTACTCACCTTTTTAGCATGTCTTTTTCTCGCAACCAGCGATCACAATGCGGATCTTGATAAAACGGATCGAGCCACTGTGTTAGTCTGACAATTCTGGGAGGCATTATCCTCTATATAACACATATTACTAAACATTTCGACCAAAATAATTGTCAACCTCTCACAGAGGCAACAAAATAACAATGTTAACGCCACCGACTGACAAAAAAGCTGCCTTTTGTTCTTGACAACATGTTAAGGGGAGTTTGCCTCTAAACCAATAAATTTGCCGGAAAGTGATCATGTGATATTCTGCCAGTACAGGCATGCGCTTTAAAGAGCAGAGGGCGATTTGATGACGAAGAAAAATCCCAGGCCATTTTATAATTCGTCTCTTCCTGAAAAGAAGGCTGGGTAATGATTAACACGTGGTAACAAAAACACATACAGAATATGTGTCAACAAATTCACTTTACCCAGACAATTAACTAATTTTGCTGGTAATAAGTTGTGTTTTGTTACCTTCTGTTGTGAAATAATGTGAATTTGCAGAGATTTCACACATGAAGTAAAGAATCTAGCCATCATATTAATCGGGTTAATCGCTAGATTCGTACGAGTCCCTTATCGAAATAAGGGTTCAGACTTTTTGAAAAACAAAATGAAATTAAGAATTGTACAATTTAATTAACAATTAATGAACAAAGCTGAGTATCTTATGAAGAATTATGGAGATCGAGGAGGGTGTTAAAACACCCTCCGAGATCTCCATAATTCTTGATATGATATGAAAGCCGAATTCAATAATTGTTTTATTATTCATTCAAAATAATTCCTAATTTAAAAACATAGCTAAAACAAGCTTACCTGCATCAATGTTAAGTTTATCTTTGATGGTTTACGTTTAGGTTTGTCCAGCTCCGCATATATTCTCCAAATAGCAGATGTGGCCCTCCGAGGTGTCTTCCTACTGTTTTTGCGATGTTTTTAGCCATTATTTCACCTAGCTCCAACTGTAGTCCGTACTCTTGAAACGGGTGAAGTGTCCGCCATTTTAGTTTTTACAACAAAAACAACTCAATCTCGTGCTCAGGTCTTCTCGGTTAACGGTGCATTAACCTGTAGAAGGCTGCATTTTTGACGTCATTTCCTTGTTAAACACAAACTTCTTCCAAATTTGGTCATCAGTAACTGGTTATGGTAAACTATGTGTGTGCTTTTACCAATCAGAATGAGAGAAATATTGTGAATGAATAATAATGCTATTTATTCATAATAATTATGTGCCTGTCTGAAATGGCAAAAGTGGCAAAAATTTCACCAAAATTGCGAAATTAAGTACCAATAATAGAATGAATAATAGAATGTTAAATGTTTTTTATCATTGTTGTTACAGTAACTGTTGTAGTGTTGATGCTAGATTGGAATTACAGTCAAATCTCTCTCAATAGACTCCTTCGTAAGATGGATATCTCAATAACATGAGCACCTAGATTTCTTTAATCCTTAAGGCCCAGATAGCAAATTCCCACCGTTTGGGTGGAATTTATTCTTAGTTCCACTGTCACCAATTCATTCTTTTGTTTTTGCTCACATTTTAATAGCAAATACTGCAAAACTCAAACTCCTGGCAATTTACCAAAAAATTCTAGCCACCTTTGTTTTGTAGTAAATGGAGTTTTAACACTAGCTGTTTCACTTCAGATAACCAGCCGGGGCCCCCAACTAATGTTGTTGCTCTGGCACGTTCCCCTTCATCAATCCTGGTGACCTGGAGCCCTCCCAATGGGCGCTACCAAATCATTGGATACACAGTGCATTACAACAAGCCGGGAGGTGCACGCAACGAGGAAAAGCAAAAAACTGTCGAAAGCGATGTATACAGCAACATTGTTACCAACTTGCAACCATTTACAAATTACAGTTTCTATGTGAGAGCATATACAAAGGCGATTGGGCTTGACTCCAAAGTAATCACACAACGAACCAAACAAGATAGTAAGTTAATTCCAACAATAAGAAGTTGTGGCTGGTATAAGTCACATTTCATAAATCACAAGTACATTTTACAAGTTACTGTTTTATGGAATGGTTTCTCCTTGTTCTAAAACAACATTCTACAGGCTCTAGGATTTCAAATCCAAAGGAAAACAATTTTTTGGTTCGTGCCCAGAGATCATGGGAAACTATCTGTAACAATTTTGTGGTGCGGTGAAAATTCAGGAGAATCCACCTCCTTTAATGTTTTCAATATTTCGAAGTCATATATTTTTTCCTTGGCACTGGAAGCCATAAACCAGTAACCTGCAATGTACTTTGAGAACGATTGAAGATAGTGGATAATAGGAAACTGACAGATGCTAAACAACATTTTTAGTTTCGGGTTCATGTATTACAAGTCGTAACTAAAGAATTGCTCTACTAGTTAACCCTTTTAGCCCCAATATCCACATACAAATTCTCCAAACTGATCTCTATACATTTCCTTCAAGAATTAGTTGAGAGAATTTGATAAAAGATCAAGGCATATAATTCCCTTAGGTGATCATTTTATTAATTCTCATAACCTAATCTCTTGACATTGTATGGATATCGTTAGGAGAAAATTGACGTTAGACACTATTGGGACTTAAAGGGTTAAGAATCTGAGTGGAAAAATGGTGAATTTCTGTAAATGGATCCCTAAGGCTGAAAATGTCACTGTGACACAATTGTTCAGTTCTGTTATTTTAAGACCACAGTAATAACATGGTACCAGAAATGATCCTTACCGTGAATTCCTAGGGCTTGTTCTGTATAAAATTGATAATTTGGGCTAGGTGACATGTTTTGGTCCTGTTAATTTATATCTGGCACAGTGACCTTTGCTCTGATCTGTGAAATGTGGCATTTAGGAAAAACCTATCATTCTTCCCCCAGAGCTTCCCAAACCAAAATTCAAGTCAAATCGAAATTTTATTTTCTGAACCAGAACCGTGCAAACGTAATTTTGAAACATTTTCAATTGAATGGCCTTGTTTGAGACTTTTGTCTGCAGGCTCAAAACTTCACCTGGTGTCTTTGTTATTCACTGTGATTTTGAATGGAGTTACACTCTTCATCAGAGCAAAGGACACTGTCTATCAGAGCTACAAGAGGGACCACTTGGCATGTACAATTTCCAGGGTTGTGAAAAAGAGTTAGAGTAGCAGGACCAATGGGAAAAGTAGCCTGATTATGGCAACAGGGAGTTGCAAGGGGGGCTAGTGTTGGGGTGGACAAGGGGGGGGTAGGGGAATTCTCCCTCCAGTTGGAAGAGTTTAGGGGCTGCCTCCAGGGAGTTTTGAGGGTATCCTTGCTGGAGGGCATTCCAGTAAATTATGAGGACCCTGAAGTGAGATAAAGATCAAGTTTCTTTAAATTTGTGCTAAAAGTGACTAGAGCGACTCACCCTTGGTGTTCAGTTGTGTTTTTGATCTTGAAAGCTTATGTTAATGTGTTTCCCTGAAAATGTTTCTTCATTTAGAACCCAGCAGGCCTCCCTCTGATGTGATGGTGACAAGTAGCACTCCTGATGTGAGTCAAATGATTTTTGTTGCATAATTAATGTGACAGGACCAGGGGCCTGTTTCTTGAAAGTCGTAATATTATTTTTGATGCTGGAAATCAAATGTTAAATCAATCTTTAAAGAATACAAGCTCTTATGCCAGCCAACAAACCTGTCCACTTTTATTGTTGTAACTTGTTATCAGCCAAACTAGCACTATCAAAACCTCCTTCTCAAGTGTAAGCAACAACAGCTCTCTGGCCCAGTAATAGGGACCTTAAGACCATACAACGGTGACGGTAACAAGAACGTCAAAAAAAAGCAATAGGTTTGATTAGCAAAACAACAAATTTGCTCTTGCATCACGATTTTTTGTACATTTATTTGTCATCACTGCACGACTATAACGTGAAAATGGCTAATTTCGTGTTTTATGGAGGGCGGAAACAAGCAACAACAAAATTTTCTTTCTCTATCTTAAGTTACTTTTACAAAGTAAGTGATGTGGAATAATTGCGACTGAGGTTGAAGAAACGTAAATTCACTTTTAAAGCAATGTTTTTGCTGCAGTTGCTGTCCTTGCATCTTAAGGTCCCTAATAATATTATTGGGACTTTGGAGAAATGGGTCACAAGGTCTAAGAGCTGGAAGCCTGAGATTTCCTCTGGCTGCTATGTGCTTGACCCCTAGCTACTTTCGTAGGAAACAAAGAGAAAATAGAACCAAAAGTAATTTCTAGCTGTTTGATTCCTTCCTTAGCAACATCCTTGCAGGACTCTTTTTATTTGATACTCTGGGTCATTTATGTGTCGGAACAGTATCGCAGTTAACCAACATCCATTCTCGTTTTTAATGCCCCATGTGAAAAAACTTTCTGGTTATCATCTTAGGAAATAAATTAAACCTGTTATAAACCTAAGATTAGTATGCATTTTAAAAACTCTTTATAGCAACCCTTTAGCTTTCAAATACAAGTTAGCCTTGTTATATAGATAAAGGTAGAGATATTATTTACAGTGGAATGTCAGCAATAGATGTAAAAATTCTTACTCTTAATCTGCACGGTATATGTAACAAAGATGGGCATTTTTTCTTTTGAAAAGTTGTGGTTATTATTGTTATTATTATTGTTATTATTATTATTATTATTATTATTATTATTATTATTATTATCGTTATTTTGTTATCCTCTTAACAGAGTCTCGAGGTCAAGTGGCAACCTCCACCAACTGATTATATAAATGGCATCATAACTAAATACATAATCACTTGTACACACATCGATGCTGGACAGTTGCCAAGAAAAATCATTGAGGTTCCAGGTGATATTCTCCATAAGACAATTAATGGATTGAGCAAGGGAGCAAATCACAGTATCAGAGTATGTGCAGTAACAGCCGCTGGCCAAGGTCCATTTAGTGCATCTGTAATTGGCAGAGTGCGCACTCAGCCTACTGGTGGTAAGTGAATAACAATCATTTATCCCGTAAATCCTCTTTTAAGGCCCCTCTCTCAAATAAGCCTCTCTCTCTAATATGCCCTCCCCCCCTTTTTTAGGGGAATAAATTTAATAAGCCCCCTTCTCTTCCAAGTCACCCTCCCCTCCCTCTTATTATTCTTCACTTATAAATAATGATGGACTGTATTAATCAATCACGACTATTTGGACTGATCCAGTATGCTTTATTGACATGCTGGAAGTTCTGATTTGTTTTTGATCCATGGCTGCATGACCTCCAACTTCTTGTACTTGAGTTTTTCCACTTCCATTCTAGTTCTTTATGGATAACTGATACTACCATTTTGCAAAATAAATAAGCAAGCCCCCTCCCGGCCCCACCTCTCAAATAAGCCTCCTTCTCTATTAACCCCCTCCCCAAACGTTTTTGAAATAAGGCCCTGGGGGTTTAATAGAGGATTTAATCAGTCCCCTTTTTAAACATCTTCAAGTCTATGCGCAACTACATTAAATTAAAGAATGCAGAATACAGTCAACTCTCATTATAGCACACACTTCAGGGACCTCAAGTTAGTGTCCTCATTAGCAATAGTCCGTAATAGCGGAAGTTTATTGCAGTGAAATGTCTGTAATTTATGTTTTCCTGGGACTTAGCTGCCGTCCGTATTATCGGGGTGTCGGTTATAGCAGTGGGTCTGCAAGGTGAGATTTGACTGTATTGTTGTGGCGACTGTTGAATTCTCTGTTGACAACACTGACTACAAGCAAGCTCTCCCATTTGGGCGAGCAAAGCGAACCGCGCGAGAACACGCGAGTGAGCGGCGAAGCTGCAAGGGGCCCCCCGCTTTCGCGTCTCCTCTCGCGCGTCCACTTTCACGATATACACCAAATGGAGAGCTTGCTCGCAGGCTAAGTAAAAGTTTGCGGACTGCCCCGGAAATGAACTCCGATTAACCTGGGTGAAATTCACATATCCCAAGGGGTAGACTGGGCATTTCCTGTCCTGTCCCATTGTTCTCTCTTGTGGCAACTTAGTGAAGGAGTGAAACCTTGAATGTTTTTTTTTTTTACTTTCCTCAGCGATAAGTGCTCCAGAATTAAGGGTTGTAGTAACAAACTCAAGTATGTTGACAGTGGCATGGAATCCTCCAGAGTTTGGTGAGGATTCTGTGGTAGAATATCGCTTATCTTATTCTCAGCCTCAAGAGCGACAACAAGGACCTTTCATCGTTGGTAAACAACAGAGAGAATATTCTCTCTATGGTCTTGGTAAGTAGTTGATGTTAACATTCAGTTTCCTCTCCTAAAGACACAAAAACAATAATTCATGGCATGCATCTTGTAGGGCACAAAGATCAATTCATCCATCTGAAGATGTTTTGGTAGAATATTCTGTTCGTGTGATTTCTGTGGCTGGTGCATATGTCTTTTTTGTGCTATAAGTGGAAGGACTATATTTTGATTTCGGTAAACTCAAATAAAGAGTTTTGGAGTCTGTCTTCGCCCAAGGCCCAAACAATATTAATCTGAAGGACTCGTTTTTTTTTAACTGGGACTCATTGGTCCTGGAGTGTGACTGATGATTTTTCACAAGATGAGTCGCACGACTCACCAGAACGATTTGTAACAAAATCGCTGTTTTTACCTTTTTTTCCCTTGTCTCGTAGATTCTGGTAGTGAGTTTCTTATCAAAATCATGGCTTGGGATGGTAAAATGTTAGGTCGGGCTGGAGCAGTTATTGCAAAAACTGACAAAGGTTTGTTATGTCTGTTTTGTCCAGCAAATTACAGTAGAACCTCGACATAACAAGGTTCTTTTTCATATACAGTAAAAACCTGGGACTAAGAACCTGCATTTTCTTGAGTTAGCCTCAACAAGTTCTTACATAAATGGTAATTAGTGCAAATTTAAGCTATGTAGGTTCTTACATAGGTTGTTATTTGATGAAGGAAAAACATTGTAGCTCAGAGTATTTAGTGGTATGCAGCTCATTCCTTAGGTAAGATAACGC